TCCTCCAAAACCGCAACCGACTCTAGCAAACCATCACCCAATGACCACGCGACGGAAAAACAATATCTCCAAACCCAAATCCAAACTCAACCTATCAGCTGGACTCACTCAAACTTATCCTCTTGAACCTAGAATCGTGAACCAAGCGTTGCTTGATAAAATATGGAGAGGCTCAATGTCAACTGAATTGGATGCCTTTGCTCGCAATCAGACTTACGATCTCGTACCTCGTCAACCTCATCAAAATATTATTGGTTGTCGATGGATTTACACTAATAAGTTTTTCGCAGATGGTAGTCATCGGTGCTGAAAATCCCGCCTTGTTGCTAAAGGCTACAATCAACAGTATGGGTGTGACTACACATCTACCTTCAGCCCAGTCATAAAGGCGACAACGATTCGTTTGATACTTGATGTTGCGGTGTCTCGGTCATGGCCTATAAAACAGCTAGACGTGAATAACACCTTTCTTCAAGGAACCCTCAAGGCAAAAGTATACATGGAGCAGCCTCCCGGTTTCATCGATCCAGAAAAGCCATCTCAAGTTTGCCGTCTTCGAAAAGCTGTAAACGGCCTGAAGCAGGCGCCACGTGCCTGGTACAATGAACTTCAAACCTTTCTTCTTAGTCTTGGTTTCAAAAACTCACTGGCGGATACTTCACTGTTCATATACAACAATGGTAAAGAACTGGTTTATCTCTTGGTATATGTCGATGACATCATCATCACCGGGAACAGTAAAGCTGTGACCACACATATTCTGTCACAACTAGCGACACGATTCTCAGTAAAAGACCCAGAGGATCTAAATTTTTTCTTGGTTATTGAGGCACATCGCACCACCAATGGTCTACATCCCTCTCAACGCAAATACATCCTGGACCTTCTACATCAGTACAAGATGGAAGATGCAAACCCAGTCACAACGCCCATGGCGTCCTCTCCCAAGCTGACCTTTCCCAAGCTGACCTTTCCCAAGCTGACCTTAAATACAGGTATTGCACTTAATGACCCCAAGGATTTTAGGAAGCTTATTGGTAGATTTAAAATTTTGGTACATCGTGAGCTTATTTTGGCGATGCATAAAGGCTCCTTATCTCCTCCACTTTCTCCTTGTTAGTAAGAGTTCCTCTATAAATCTCAATTTTTGAGGAACATGATACCAGTTTTCTATATTTAGCAATTCTTCACCAGTGTCTCTCATATCTTCCTTTAAATTCGAGACTTTGTTCTATTGATCTTTATGTTGATTCTTCCTGGAAGCTTATTGGTAGATACAGATCGGTGGCTAACACATCCGCTGAATTAAGGTGGATTTGAAATTTATTAACTGAATTGGGTATTGCCTTGCCTACTCCACCTGTTATCTATTGTGATAATCTTGGTGCTACCTTCCTTTGTGCAAATCCTGTGTTTCACTCACGTATGAAACATGTGGCGCTCGACTATCACTTCATCAGGGGTTAAATTCAACACGGAATGCTCCGAGTGGCTCATGTCAACACAAAAGACCAACTGGCGGATTCTTTGACAAAACCACTTCCTCGCCAACGCTATACAGATTTAAGAGACAAGATTGGAGTGTCTAAACCCCCTCCATCTTGAGGGGGCGTGTAAAGAATACTAGAGATCCCTCTCTATTAAGTTTGTAATATCCCCTTCTTCTACTTATGGAAACATGTATAAATGTATAGCTCCTAGGGCATCTCTCGAGTCTGTATATATTCATGTACCACCCTCTCTTCATAGATATATAAAACAATACCTTTATAGGAAGATTGCACAAGAAGTGGAGGTTGAGGTTCCTTCATCTTCTTTTTTCTTTCAATGACTAAGTAGCTCTATCGCCTCCTCTTTTTAAGCATTATCCACATGCTCTTGAAACATTTCTTGAAGACATTCTCCATCAAAGCTTTCTTTGTCTACTTCTTCATTTAAACAAAATTTTTCTTCACCACTCTTAACCACATCATCCTTTTTCTCATCAGTAAGAATCTCTCCAATTGTGAATGTTCCACAATACTCAGTTTGAATGAATGGAAAGTTGATTGGGTTGAAGATGGTTTTGTTGATTTTGTGGTGTGTCACTTTCTTGTTGGAGAAGTCTAATCAAGTGGCGGATGTAGAGAGAAATGGCCTTCCAAGAATCAATGAAACTCGTCTATTCACATTGACACTTGCATAAGAATCCACATGAGCATCATCCAACTTCAAATCTCCAAGAGCACAAGGAATGGTGAACATACTGATTATCTTAAATTTTTCGAATAGATTTTGGTACATTGTTAGCTTATTTTGGCGATGCATAAAGGCTCCTTATCTCCTCCACTTTCTCCTTGTTAGTAAGAGTTCCTCTATAAATCTCAATTTTTGAGGAACATGATATCAGTTTTCTATATTTAGCAATTCTTCACCAGTGTCTCTTATATCTTCCTTTAAATTCGAGAGTTTGTTCTATTGATCTTTATGTTGATTCTTCCTGGAAATGGAAATTTTGGTTCATATGGTGAAGGCTTGTCTTCAAGGATTTCGTTCTTATCACTTCCTTTTGAGGCTTATCCTTTCTCAATGGAGCTTTTTCACTTCTACAGTCTTCTCCACAACCTTTACTCCAACCTCATTTCCAAAATTTGAGAAGATGGTATTTGAAGTTCCTTTACCATCGGGGGACACTTGGAGTTAGATTTAAGATGAGTCAGTCTGAGATCTGTGGACTGCGCATGAAAGGATAAGCTTAATATTTTTCTGTCAATCCCGTTGTGGTTTGTATTCACCTTGTCATACATCATAGAAAAAGTTTTGTACAGAGTATCAAATTTTGGATATTAAATTCTAGTATCTACTTGAACATGTTTTTGATCTTGCTACCATGAAATGAAGAGATAGAGGAGATTCCTTATACTTGCTTATGTTGAATCCCTTGATTTGGGTGAAACTGTGTGGAAGCGTGTTCTATTGTCCCTTCTGCTGGTAGTAATTTTTTCAAGGGTTGTAGACCTGGTTTTGATCATAATAACAAACATAATGAACCTATTTATGTTGAAGGTGTAAAAACTTATCTGTCTGCTCTTGAAGAGATCTAATATCTTTTTCTATGTAGTCATCTTGAACTTCACTATCTCTGTTAGACTGACCGCAATCTTTTTCTTAAGCAGTATCGCTCTATGTCAAGTTCTCAGTGAAAGATATGTCGTTACGAGTTTAACATGTTTTAATTAAAACAAACAAAGATTTCTAATTTATTAAAATACGGAAAAAGTGGAAATATATTTTAAATAAGTAAATTTATTATGAAACTACACATTTATTTAATCTTTGAAAATTACCTTTTACTAGATGATTTTCTCGTGCTCATGCATGAGTGTTAATATTAAAAAATAAATATATCATAATAATTGATTACAAATTTATTTTAAAATTTAACTTATTTTAAAATTTATATGTATGATCTTGTATAAATAATAATCATGTTAGTTTCATTAGATATATGATTTTAGATATATAGTCTCTAGTCAGTTTAATTATAATTTGAGTATATTATAGGGTGAATTTGCCTAATATTCATAAGAGACAAGAAAATGAAGAATATAGGTAATGGATAAGACAATTATCAATACAATTTTGACCATTCTCTCATTGTCAGCGTGTGAAAAAAAATGGGAAGCTAAAAGACATGTTATCCATTCTCTTATTGCTTTAACTCACATATCTATCATAACACAAACTTTTTTATTTAAAAAGGATAAGATTTTGTTTATTGCTTTTACTAGGGGTTGGCCCGTTTTACAGGCGGGTGAATCAACAATAAAATTATTTTATAAAATATTTTAAAAATTACATAAAATTAAAAATGATACATTTATTTTTATTGTAAGATTTAATTGGTATTAATTTTTTGTTGGTTTGAGTTGAAAGAAGTATTTTTAGTGAACATAAAATTATTAAATTAAAAAAACTAAGGAATGTGTAATGATTTATATTTTTATTTTGATTTTTATTTCACTTTAATATAGTTAAAGAAAATCTAAAGTAAAAATATCTGATATATTTTTCTACTAATAATAGTATGAAGTTAAGTACCAGCTAGCATTCCGGAGATTGTCGGTCTGTCTTGCTTGCCTCTGTTATCTACATAGTGGGAGCTATTGGCCTCTAAATTCATATTAGTTGAGGTGTAATTCAAGAAAGATAAGAGTTTAAATTTTTGATATTATTACATTAAATTAATTAATTTTCTCAAGATAAATAATTAATCCATCTCCAAAGCTGAATCAATTAAAAAGATAATGTAATGTGATAAAATTATAAAAAAATCTTAAAGTAATATATAAATAATTTCAATAATGTCAATATGTCATAGATAATAATTAATATATTTTAGTTAGCAACAAATAATGGGAAAATTTCAATTTTACCACATTCATTATACCATTTTTCATTTTTACCTTTGCTATAAAGATATTTTCATAAATACCTAAATCATTAGTGGCCAAATGACTAAACTAACCTTTTTAATTTATTTCTTATTTCCTCCATCTTTCTCGTTGTCGTCTTCTTCGTCAAGCCTCGCCATCACTGTATTCATGAGATTCACCGTATCTGTCTTTAACATTTTTTGTATCTTCGTATCAATCGATTTTCCTAAGATTAACGTCTCGATCGAGCTTCGTTGTCATCGTCTTCATCAAGCTTTGGTGTCATTTTCATCGAGATCTGTCGTCGTCTCCGACGAGATCCATCGTCACTCTCTCATCGTGGAGCTTGGTTTCGATGCAAGGTTACTCCTTCTTCTCAGTTTTCTTTCTTATATATAATTTAGATATTAAAATACTCATTATGTTATTTTCTTTATCAGATTACAAAGATATTCAACAGAGGGAAATCATTATTCTACGATTTGGAGTATCTTGCTTTCACAGAAGAAGGTTTGTTTCAGTTTCTCAAATGTTTAGATAGTTAAAACATTTTTTAAAATTTATCTTTTTAAAAATATGACTCAGGGATACACACAACAAAAGTATTTCAAAAATGCCACGGCAAGAACGAGACTCACCTCATGGTTCGACCCTTATGTCCACGTCAGCGTCATGAAAGTCAAGTCCTTTGTGGTGGAGGAGAACAAGAAGATCTTGATGTTGTTGTTGTTCATGGTCTTTGGAAAGTAGGAGAGTTGGTGGATTGGTGGAAAGACGATTGCTATTGGTCTGGTACGGTTCGAGAAGTGAATGAAGAATATGAAACTGTGAAGGTATGTCTCTGTAACTTCGTTGCAATGTGTTAAAAAAGGCTGTTTAAGATTTTTGAATTTTTTTTTGCAACTTTTTTTGTTTATATTGAGTTGTTGCCTAAACCTTATGAAGGAGGTAGCTACGATGCTGTGTTTAAAGATTTGCGTCCTTCGTTGGAGTGGTCACTTGAAGATGGATGGATTGTGCCTTTCTCTAAGGTTTTACTAAGCATCCTTTATGGAGTATTGACTATGTTGTTCCTTATGCTTGTTTTAAAAACATTATTATTTTTCTTTATAGGATGGGGAAAAGAGGCAGTGTGCTATCAGAGAAGAAGAAAGGTGAGAGTTACGAAGAAGTTAGTTGGAGATGAAGGTCTTGCGTTGAATACAATGGAATCAGAGTCAGTTGAAGCTGCTGTGATGGACTTGGAAGAGGTTGCTGTTCAAATAGAGTGGATTAAAGGAATGTTATCGCTTAATGTTCCTAATTCCGAAACTTCAACATGGATATGTGAAAATGGTTCTGTGGAGAGTTGTTAAAGGGTGGAGGTCTTGGGTTCGAGTAACGCCAAGCGAATCAATAACCTACCGGTGGATGTGGAGGCAGTTCCTCCCACGGTGAGGGGTTAGGATCGGTGCGCTGCAGCGCTTGTGAGCCACAAGATGGGTTGTCACAAATAAGTTGACTTTTAATGTAACAACCTGTCCTGTGGGAACTACCCGCCCCATAGCCGCCAGGCTGACCCTACAGGGCACCGACCCCAACCCCTTCATTATGAATTCTCACTAAATCCATAATTAGGTTGTTGGTGAGACTTAAACTCATGTCCTCACCCTTTAACAACATTCCCACAGGACAAGCTGTCGCAAATTGAACTGAGTTCAATTGGTGACAGCTTGTTCAGTGGAAGGGTTGTTAAAGGGTGAGGTCTTGGGTTCGAGTAGCGCCAAGCGCATCAATAACCTACATGGAGGAGTCAGTGAGGGCTCACGTGAGAGGGGTTAGGGTCGATGCGTTTCAGCGCTGTCAGCTTCCAGTGGATAGGTTGTCACAAAAAAGTCGACTTTTCTTGTAACTCCCCGACCGCCCACGGCTAATGGGTCACCCGCGCCCGCTCTCTCGGCCCCTGGGCCCCATCCCGTTCCAACGGCCGGTCCATTAATTTTCCAAGGATTTGGAGTTATGTTTACTGACCCTGCAATCACTACATGACCTTTCCCCGTGCTTTGGCTGCACTTACACGGTATCGCAAATCACTTCCTGATAGGTTACCCATCCTTAGACTACTCCAGCTCAAGCACGCTTAACTCTGGAGTTCTCTCTGGATGTGCTCCCGAAAAGGTAAGTGCACTTTGGTGACATAGGTAGCCAAATCAATTCTCTTAAGCCTTTTCCAAATACCACAAACCGGGATGTTATAATTCACCCCCTCTCAAAGAACGCAACGTCCTCGTTGCGCCCCACAACAGGTCTCAAGACGCCTCTCAGGTCAAAACTAAGATGGCTAACCAGCTCTGATACCACTTGTAACGCCCCGACCGCCCACGGCTAATGGGCCACCTATGCCCGCTCTCTCGGCCCTTGGGCCCATCCCGTTCCAACGGACAGTCCGTTAATTTTCCAAGGATTTAGAGTTATGTTAACTGACCCTGCAATCACCACATGACATTTTCTCGTGCTTTGGCCTCACTTACACGGTATCGCAAATCACTTCCCGATAGGTCACCCATCCTTAGACTACTCCAGCTCAAGCACGCTTAACTCTGGAGTTCTCTCTGGATGTGCTCCCGAAAAGGTAAGTGCACTTTGGTGACATAGGTAGCCAAATCAATTCTCTTAAGCCTTTTCCAAATACCACAAACCGGGATGTTACAGGTTTTATCTTCGGTTGTTCAACAGGTACAGAGGCGTGCATCCCTTTAGACAATAAAAGTTTTAGTTTTTTAGAATAAAAGTTTTTGTTTTTTAGAAAAAAAATTTTAGTTTTTTTGAATAATTTTTTTAGTTTTTTAGACAACAGGCAAAGGTGCATCTCATTATTTTATTTTACTAATCTGTTGCATATATATTGTGCTTATTGTTCCATGGAAACTGATTCATTTGCATTTTTTTTCTTGTGTTAAGACTTTTGCTGTTTTGTCTGGAGTACACAGTTTGGTTGTTTGCCTTCTGAAACAATTGCGAGGGAAATATGGCGGTGAGACTAGTTTTAATGATTACACGTGCCTTGTTTTTACATCCACTTGTAACGTCTCCCTTCCTTTGTTGTAGCCATTAAGGTTGGAGTTGCTGGCTGCTGCACCGGTCTTGCTCTTAGTTTCCCTGGTATTGAACATTATGTGTGTTCTAGTTTGTTGAGTTGTAACTCTGAAGCTGCTTCAGGTTCAAACGTTGGGACTAAACGTGTTCAGAGATGATCAAGGAAAGGATTTAAAAAGGCGTTGTTGATGAGTCCACAACGTTTAAGCTGATGTACGTTAGTACACATCAACATGTATGGTTTTGTTTTTAGATCCGTGTTTGATTGATTTGTTAATGAAAAAAGAGAGTGGAAGCTTGTTCAAGCAATACACTTGTAAGTTGCGTCCAAACACTTTGAATACATTTTTTTGTACAAGAACCGAACTCATGCTTTTGATTGAACATTGGTTCAGATTAAAAGAAAATCATTGTCAACTATCTATGGTGGACTAGAATCCACACAAAAACTAACTTTACTATATATAATGTAATCATCAGTTGTGAGGTAACAATAATAGAGACATGTATCTCTTTTATTCACTATCTTAAGAATATGCATAAGGAGGAATGCTCGAGCAAAGAATGTAGGAACAAGTTATGGAGATAGAGAGACTAGGCTATTGCAGACTGTTTATCATCTTCAAGGTGTAACGCTCTAACTAGTTTTGGCCATGACTGTGGGATTCCACCTGGTAATTCAAACTCATAAAACCAATTAGAAAGTCTTTAAACCATTTATAAGAGTTTATAAATAGATTTTACAAATCGGTTTATAAATTTTGTTTATAAAAGTTCACAATTGGTATAACAAATATATCATTTAAAAGAGTTTATAAGTAATTATTTATCATTATAAGAGATTTATATATCATTGATAAGAGTCTATATATCATTTATAAAGGCCTATAAATCATCTTTAAAGTGTTATAAATCAGTTACAAGGGTTTAGAAATTATTCATTAGAGTTAATAAAATATGTATAAGAGTTAATAAATCAGAGGAGTTTTCTAATTCATCATCAACTTATAAATATTTATAAATCATTTTATGTCTTTATACACACTTATAAGTCATTTATAAACTCATATAATTCCAATTCATTTTATAAAATCTTTATAAAAAATTTATAAGCTCTTATAAATAAGTTTATACTTCTTATAAATAATTCTTTAATCTTTTATAAATCAGTCATCACAATATATGAGCAAAGATCTTAACCACCAATAGCAAGATACCATGCTCGAATAAGACAATATGTCCTGCTTAACTTCTAGATTGTCCATCTCTATCCATACTCGTGTGTATAAATTGATTCACAAGGATTTATAAACTAATTTATAATACTTTATAAAACGAGTCTATAAGTTAACTATAAATATTTATAAACTAATTTATAAAGTGTTACAAAAAATAGTCTCAATTACTTGGCCGCAAAATAATAGATTCCAGTTCATACATAATCAGGCACATATGCCACTGAGAAGTTAGTAACTTATTTGCTTGATCAAACATGTTACAAAATAATAGATTCCAGTTCCTACATAATCAGGCACAGACTTCAACTACGTCTAGTTTAGTAGAGTAATTAGTATGAGACAACTCTACTAAGTTGATTTATTAATGCTTATAAACTGGTTTAATACTTTATAAATTTATGTATCATCATTAATGAACTTTAAACAGATTTATAAAGTCTTATAAAACTGATTTAGTTTATAAAATCATCTAAAACTTTTGAAAACTTTATAATACATTATAATTATATTTATAGAAAATTAAACATCTTGAAGAGCTTACAAATACCCTAGGTGAAGTTTTATAAGAATTTATAAATCTTTTATAGGGGATTATAACATTATTTATATGAAATTATAAATATAAACTTAAGAAATTTATCAACATTTTTTTTAAATCGACTTAATAAAATTGTTTATAAGGACTAGAAACTAATTTATAAGACCTTATAAAATCTAGAAAACTTATTAAATCTTATAGAGCGTTGACAAATTTTATGAAATAGATTTAGAAACTCTTATAAGAGTATATATAAAATCATTTAATAATCCCTTATATAATATTATATTGTTACAATCCCCTACAAAATCATTTCGTAACGATTTATAAACTATTCATAAGGTTTAAAAGTCCTTTATAAGTGTTTATAAATAATTTGTAAGGGTTTATAACACATTAATAAGGTATCTACATTTATAAGAGTTAATATATTATATATAAAAGATTATATATCATTTATAAGGGTTCATAAGGGTTCATAAACTAATTTATGAAAGCTGATAAACTAATGTATAAAAGATTATATATATTTTGATTTACAAGAATATATAAATTGATTTATAAGGGTTGATAAACTGTTTATAATACTTTATAAAAAAGGAGTTAAAAGGATCTTAATCTTGTGTCTGAGAATGATGCAACATGTTTTAAGGACTTATACCTAGCTACAATACTCGCAACAGACTCAGTTACAAGACCAGACCCATAAGCGAAAAGCGGATCATAATGCAAATCTCCATAGCTCATAGGCAACTGCTCTGCGTTTCTGAACCATGTAATAGGAAGTTTCCCACTGAAGCCATGGTCCCCAAAGAGAGCATCAGTGATCCCTTGGCCTTCTGTTCCCGGTAGCCACGCTGCAACCAAGGCCTCAATCGAGGCAACGTAAGGTGCCATCACAAGTGGTCTCCCTGAAACAACTACAACAACACATTTGATAGCCTGACAAGTGGAGGTAACGATGGCTGGACCAGGATCCCTCATAGTTAGCTTGTCGCTATCTCCAGCTGTCTCTGCATATGGAGAGGTTCACCAACAGCAATGATTGCGTAAGAAAAGTTGTTCGACTTGATGAATCCAGCATCTGGATTTTCGTTGAAGATTAACTTTTGTGCTTTGATCAACAGCTGATTTTATAGCGCCAAGAATTGTAGTTCCTGAAAACAATCATCAACTAAGTTTATACAATCATTTCTCAAGATGATAAATAGCCGCATACAAGTTTACCTCTAGTGTTCTTGTTGCCGCTCAATCCTTGCCAAGTTATGGTCCAACCACCACATTGGTAACCTAAATTATCAGCATGAGTACCAGCTACTAGGATCTTTGAAGCCTTCCTTGGAAGTGGGAGCATAGGATTGGTATTGTTCCCGTTTTTCAGCAGCACAAGGGATTTACTAACAGCTTCCCTTGCCAGGTCTCTATGTGCCTAATAGAAATTGAGAACATTCAATACTTGCAATAGAGTCTAGCTCAGGGAAAAATACTCAAAGCAGCAACTGACCTGGCTTCCTAGTTCATTGGAGAAGCTATAATCAGCCAAAGGGTTCTCAAAGAGTCCCATGGTGAACTTGACAAGTAGGATTCTGCTGACAGCATCATCAATCCGTGTGATAGGTATTACTTTGCTCCTCACTAAGGACATAAGATCATTGATGAATTCATTGAAGTTAAAAAGAACCCATGACCTGCATATTGTTTCAGATATGAGTAAAACTTTCTTATAATCATTCAAAGAGTGTCTGTGAAGTTTGAAACACAAGACCATGTGAATGCCAGCCTGAATTGCAGCTTGGACAGAAGCTGTGTAGCTTGAATGCGGTTGCGATGATGTCTTATCAACGCCTTGCCAATCCAAAATAACAAAACCCTGCACATATCATTAGACAAGATAAGTTGGAATTAACACAACCTCTTCAAGAAAGTACATATTCTCACTTCAGCTTGACTTGCAAAGCTCTCTGCGATTTTAAGACCATGGTGATCTTAGATTTCTAGTTCAGCGCCTCAACCACTCTATGCAAAACCTGCAACTAAAATATATGTGAGCCTCCTATGAGACCTGTCAACTGACCAACTAGGAAATCTGACGTCTTGACACATGTTGTTGAAGCATGGATCCTGCTGCACCACCAGAAGCTCCTCCTCCACTTGAGCTGCCTCTCGGTTTCCTCTTACGCATGCTTGCAGCTGCAGCTGCTCTCTGTGGAGCTCCATTTCCTACCATCCTTCTCTTATCTTCTTTAACTAACTGAGAGAGACATGTGCATACAAAATTAGCATTGAATCACTTGCTAATTAAAAAAAAAGGTAACATGGAAAACCTAAACAGGATTAATAGTAACAATCATGTTGTGCAATCAAATCACCAAAAAGAGCCTATGCTTTTTATAGACTATATCTTATTCTATGCGAAACTGAGCAAGCATTCAACAGATTCAATGCTAATGTGACTTTCTCAAACCCAATGAATCTATTTCTAAACATGAATTGTAAAACTAGACGGATTCAAGAGATGAGCAATTAAAAATTCTCAACACATCGAAACCTATATAACTATGAACACGTAACATTCTACATAATATTACACATGCAAAAGTAAAATCGTATCAGATCAGAGATCAAAAACCGTAGATCAACGCAATTCTGGTTACAACATCGAGATCTCATAATCAGATCTACTGTCTAACCTAAACGTAGCAAAAGATCTAAGAATTCCTCAATCACGATACGACTGAATTCACACAAATACGCCGGAGGTTAGCTCGTACATGAACGAAAATCGAATAAACACTCACCAGAAATTGGCTTCGGAGATTCTGATGTCGACGGGAATGATTACGAGATGAAGAGACCTTTGATTTGGAGTTGACCTTTGATTTCATGACGGAGAGATTGAGAGGAGATATAGATTAGTAGGCTATGGTTAATTGAGGGATAAAATAGTATTTTGATTATCAAAATTTTAAGGGTAGAGATGATTAATGTAAAAGTGAAATTGTGTATTATGAAAGTGCTAGTTTTAGCAATTTCCCACAAATAATGGCTTTGACTGGTGACCACCAAAGGGAATAATAGGAATAACGAGGAAAGGAATAAAGAGGAACAAAATAATAGGAACACTTGTTCCATATTGTTCCTCCCCAGATTTGATAAGGAATGATTTTGTTCTTTGATTCCTTAAATTAAATGGAATGAGAAGGAATATTGAAGAAAAATTATTCCTTATAAATGGTGTCAAATTTAAGGAATGGAGAGGAATTAACTATTATGATTCCTTATAAATGGTGTCAAATTTAAGGAATAAAGAGGAATTAACTATTCCCACACATTCCTTTGGCCACCAGTTAAAGCCAAAATATGTTTGTTTCAGTTTATATTAGATTTTCAATTTATAACAATTTTTTTTAATTTTTAGTATTTATTAATTAGGCTTTCTAAATTAGCTGAGCATTTGTTGAACTTTATATTGTAGAAGGATGAACAACTCAACTGCTGAATATAATGTCAAATTACAAACATGTACACCCATCTCTAAAGGTAACACCAACTATGTTCAGTATCTTTTTCAGATCATGTTAAACTCAAAATGAAGTAATATCCGTAGAGTTACCTAACAATGAGGTATTTCCAAAGATTACTTGGTCGTGATCCACTTCACTTTATTATCAACTATAACCTTTATATTTTCTTCAGTGTTGTTTTTAACCATATAGAATCTTTACCTAGTATGAATCTGAAGTGCAATACTTTCCTCTTTACTTGATGAATAAAACTTCAGTTTGCCTGAAAATACTTCGCCAACAGTTGGAGTTTAGATGTTATGAAGAGGCTCTTGAACATAACCAGTCAATATTAATCCCTTTTCTTTCCTGTTTCTTTTATTCTAGATGAAATTGTCAGCTTACTTATATCAGAGTCGAAAGAACTCAACAAAGTCAGATACTACAGAGACGGCCATCTAGACACGGTACCTAGCTCGCATTTACGATTTCATAAGGTATAATTTCAATAAGGGTTAACTATCAAAGAAGATGGGAGGATGAATAATATTGTATTCTAAATACATTACCTCACAACTCCAACATTACAGTTTGCACCATCCGTTGGCTTTGCAAACGCCAACAACTACCACTGTGCATAGGAACTCAACGGCCTACAACGTTGAGAGTTAAGAAAGGCACACATTAGTGGTTCCATTAACTTATGGCAAAATGTTTATTAAAAACGATTATATTAAGCTCAGCCAAGGATATATTCTATTTTCCTAACACCACCATATATTGTGTTGCTTTAGAGGTAGACGCCTGGGAACAATTCTCTCCTTTCCTGAGTACTTGTCTCTCCTCTAAGAAGCCCAGGAAGAAGATGGGGAAAAGAGCTCACCTGCACACAGGAGAGAAACTAATGTGAGCCCACCAAAGCATGCAATGGAAAATGATGATTTTCTAGTCTGTGACCTATACAAAGAACCTGACAATTCTATCGAGACAACCGCAAGTGAACCTACTGATAAAGATGTTGACATTGAGGATGGAACTGATAATGAAGATAAAAATATCCGCTGCAAGTAAAATATTATTTGTGTCGTATTGTAAGGCTCTTTGTTAGCTCTTTTTTGAGAATAGTGAAATTAATCTATTAACCAGCCAATCTTCCAGGTTCTGCAGATGATATAATCGCAAGTCCATCAAAAACAAGAACGCAGACGCTAGCTTCCTGGTTGGACTATTGAGTGACTATTATCGATGACCACCAATCACATTATACGTTTGTTTTTTAGGCCAAGTAAAGCAATTTAGCAAACAAACCATGTACCTTTCTATTCGAAGTGTTTCCATTATGAGTTGAGAAACAGAACCTCTCTCTATTGGGTATGTTTGATGATACGTACGGCTACAGAAGCGTCCCCAAACCTGAAGTTGGTGTTGCTTCTTGTTCAATGAAATATGATAAGGTCATAGAAGAATCCTTCTCCCAGCACTGGTCTGAAGGTGTTTAGACGGTGAAAGTTGATTGATTCTTGGATTAGTTTTGACTGAAAAGGGGCTGGTTTAATCAAAACCCTACAACTGCAAAAAGATCGTTCTCTAAAAATAATAAGGAGATAGATTGAACGACATACGTTCCCATCAATCAACAGCATATCGACGTCCATCAGCTCACCATTTTTTTTATATTCCAGGCCTCACAAAATCGGAAGGAGCCTGGTCAGCACCATCCGTCTAGGCGTCTACACAGATCTTCCTTTAACTCAGAGAAATGAAGTTGGAGTTCACCATTACTGAAGGGAAGAAAGAGGTATAGATTGAGAGGACGGAACTTGTTTTCATGGGTTCTCAAACTCTGTGTTTATATATTAAATGAAGATGATGGTTCTGGAATTGAAGATGTATTGAAGAAAACGTTAGTGGGATTCGTAGAGTTATTGACCTTTTCGCTTAACATTACGACGGCGAGAATATGAGAATGGGAAACAGAACCGGGCCAATAGCTTTTTCGTAGACGGTTTGATTGAACAAACAAAATATAGGCCCATAAACATAACGAAATGAAAACTACCCCAACTAATTATTTTACCCTTTTTAATGCACAATCTTTTATAAATGTGCCTATTTTAATACACAAACTTTGTTTATTTTAATTAACAATATGAATAAGTTTCCAATAAAAATTTTAAAATTTCTAAACTTAACAAAAAAAATTGATTTTATTATATGTTAGAGAAATAAATTAAATAAATTTTTATAATCTTAAGTTTTGTAATAAGTTTTTTAAGTTTTATATATTGAATTTAGTTTGTTTTCTGCAATAAAAAAGTATTTTTTTTCCTTCAAAATTAATTTTTCTAAACATTTAAATTTTCTCCAGAGTTTATTTACCTTCTTTCTTAAATCTTTGAGTAAACTTAGAAATTTTAAATATTTTTTCTAAGGTTTTGGAGATTTTTTAAAATTTTGTTTGAAACTTATTAGTATTGTTAATTAAAATAAACAAAGTTTGAGTATTAAAATGGGCACAATTATAAAAGTTTGTATATTAAAGTGGGAAAAATTACTAGTTGAGGTATTAAATTGGGAAGTGAAAAAGTTTGGGTATTAAAAAGCTTAATAAAATTTAGTTGGAATATTTATATGGAATTTTCCCAATATTAAATAATATTTTGTTTTTGTTTTTAATATGTTAAATTTGAAAGTATATTAAGTTTTTATGTAATGTAATTCAAACATATGTAAATTTAAATTGGGATTTACATAATATAAAAATCTTCTTATCTATTAAAACAACATACATCTTATATATGGGACAATATAGTATGTCAATATCATATGGATCATTACTAATTAGTATTTCAATTATTTTGTGCTCAAAAGTCATAAAACATATATTTTTTAGAAAAAAACATATCTACGTTTCTCAATCTAACAAAGATTTTAACCTTTTTTATTGTTGAATATTTTTTCTTCCTATATTATAAACGTATAACTTTGATATTAGCGTAAACATTTGAAATATATGATTTCCATTTTAATAATATAAATAATGTAATTCTATAATCTTATTTTTTTATTTATTTGACATTATTAATACATACTGGTTTTTATACATTTTAACTTGTCATAAATTGTTATTAGATAATAATATAATTTCAAATTCGGTTCAATAAATTAATAATTTGAAATAATCAAATAGGTAACCCCTTTCAAAATATGTTTTTATACGTTTTATACATTTTTCTACGGTTCGTAAGCAAAATATTTTTAAATTTTATTTAGTTATACAATAGAATAGATACTTGTTTAGGATCATTTATATTTCTTGGTTGTGTTTAAAATATATAATTTAGCATCTATTATTTTAGTATATAGATAATTTTTATAAATAATTATAGTGTTATTTTCAAATAATTTAGACTACTAATTTCGAAATTAATTAATACATTATTATATAAAAATATTTAAGTTGTTTTGTAAGATTCCGTTAGATTCTTTTTCAATAGAATTTATATAGTTAGAAATAAAATTAAAATAATTTTATAGACGAAGTTGTTATGTGTTGATTATATAAGATGTGATATCTTAATGATGTCAATATGTTAATAAGAAATAAGTGGAATAAGATTTTCTAAAGAAGGTCCATTTTTAAAAAAATATCACACATGAATATAAGTTATGACTTCTCTTTTAATATAGTAGACTAGGATTCGTCAACCTCGCGCAAGCGCGGGGTTCGTGGGTGTTGTATGACTCAATAGAAATGCTCTCACAACATATATAGATACTGCTGAAGATGAAAACTTATTGAGGAAAGAAAAAAAGTCGATTAACTCCTATAATAAACTTTTTTTAGAAGGAACTCCACACATGGTCTCCAAAAAACTTATCACTACTTCATCACTTTATCCGACTGTTCAGTAAAACCTCTCTTTGAACAAAAACTTGATTACTTAATATAGGTCACGATGAACTCATGCATTAGAATAACTGAAGTCCAAAAAAGTTTTGGTGAAAGAAGACGTAGTTTTGATAGCAATGGAATGTAGCGGGTCTTCTTTTTGCTTTATGTCACTTGTATCTTTTATTTTCGCCACTAAACCTGAACATATACAATTAAGAGATTTACTCTTAAGCTAATTTAAACTTAAAATGATACAAGACTTTTTTGTGTGTTCATCACCTTTTCTTAAAGACTTTAAGTCACCAGGTCTTTATGTGAAGCATTCTTCTATACAGAATCAAGTGCAGCCAAACAAAACCAATGGGTTTCTACTTTCTACAAACCAAATTTATGTAAGTAACCTAAACTAAATGAATTTTATTTGGAGCAACAAATTGTAAGATAACATACATTTTAGTGCTTAGTCTTGGAGTAATGCAGCTTAGAATATATCCCTAGAATGATCTTCTGATTAGTGATGATTCTTAGGATATACGCGAGAGCATACTTTGCCTGAACTCAGAGAGACACCTATTTTTCTTGTTGCTGCTTCTGGCAAGGAGATTTGAAAATTCTTCAGCAGAAAATCCAATGCGTAAAGCTCATGATGCCGTACAACCTCTAATTGCATCTTAGGTTCAGTGCCTCTATTAAATCATCACATAGAAAAGCATTATTAGCCCACGTAAAAGAATAGTGTACATACATATAGCATGACTGGATCTGATCAATTAAGTACTTACTTGATAAGAATTCTTTGATACAGATTAGTGTCTCTATAGAGATTGTGTTCTTTCTTCTTCTACTGTGAGATGGAGAACATGTTTACTGCGTTTTCCGAGGTAACACACAGAGAACTCCACTTCCCTTTCAGACTCCATGGTTGCTTACTTGCCTTCATCTCTACATCTTCTTTCTCACTCATCTGAAAACATTACACGAATCATGTTCTTTATTATAAACCGCTTGAGGAAAAAGTTTTTAGTAAAATGATTTACAGGATTCAAAATTTTCTGAGAGAAAATCGGCCTGTAATTCTTTAGGTTCTGCATATATTTTTCTTCAACCACAGCAAGCTTAGAAAGATGCTAAACAGAAAAAACTTTATGAAAATCTTTCTACATATTATAAGAGAATCTCTTGCTTAACTATGCTTAAGAGGTATCCAAAAATTATGTCTTCCCAAAGAAAATGGCCGAGGCAAATTAAAGATAAGTTAAATAAATAAACCTGCAATTATAGCATAGATTGCAAACCAAGGCGTTTGTGGCGAAGTCCCTGCTGTGGCCTCCATATCTACTTCATTTAGGGCTTGGATTATCCGCCTCCTGCAATAACCCCATCGTGGTGACGGAGGTGTCGGTTCTTCTCCTCATCTACGGAAAGCTTTTAACTCTATATCAGTCAATCAACAAACGCAAGAGTTATTAGCATCTGCGTCAAGAGACCATTAAATAAGCATTCAGACTGGTATGAAATCATAAGATTCTCTAGCCTTGCAGTCTGCCAATTCCTTTATTACAAACAATTACAAAAGTGAAACAGATTGAGATCCTAAATTACACAGTTTCAAGCTTTGAGCACTACATAGCTGGAGTTGGAGGATCCATATTGGACTTACATGTTAATACGGAGCCAAGAAGCGGAGAAGTCCGATTAAGTCGGCGAACGTCGAAGGTTGACTGGTGGTCGAAGGTTGACTGGTGGACGGCTGATTGAGAGCAGCAGTAGCAGTAGAGGAAGACATTCTCAAGAACTGTCCTCACTTCAACCTTATCGAAACAAAAAAAAAAGTATTTTTTTGGTGAGAATCCATGGAATCAGATCAGCAATTCGAACCAGAGAGCCAGACAGGATCAAATGATTCGACATCAAAACTAAAAAGCCATGGCTTTTCAAATGAAAAAGAAAACTGATGCAAATGAAACCGCAAATAATCACCATATACCTTCAAAAACTAATTCTTGTGACCTCTACGTCTCCACATCAGAAAGAGATCAATTACCAAAAAAAAACTCAGATTGGGGATGGTAGAAGGAACGGTTTCTTCAAAACCTTAGATTAAGGTCAGAAGAAGGAACCAGAGTGAGGTTTCAATTATTCAGGAGAGAATGATAACCTTAATCGTGGATAAACTTTAATCTTAACGCCACATATCTGTACGGTTTTTGAGAAAACACCATCGACAATAAACTTGTGAGGACGAAGAGGAGGAAGACAAAAAGTTAGGGATTTTTCGTTTGATACTGAGAGTACACGAAAAATATTAAACACCCAAAACAAAGCCCAGACGAAAGCCCAATTAAAAAGGATGACGTGTCACCTCAGCAGAGCTTTAACTGTACCATTATAATATAGATTATCAGTCTTGATTGCTAAAATCTATATTATTAAAACTAAAGTACCAAAATTGGAAATAAGAATAACAATATTAGTAAGAAGTATGTTTGGAAACATGAATAGCAGTATCCTTTTAGTATTTTTTTTTTAATTTACATACTTAGCAATTGCATTTACAATAAATTAAGTATTTTTTATATTTTTTTTATTTACAGATTCTACCACTACATTTAAAATCAATCTAAATTAATTAACTACAATTCCAAAGTTGGTGATGTTATTAATAAGCGGTTTATGAATTTACGTTGAATACAAATTCAATTAAACATCCGAGCGGGGTGTGGGACAACATCTAGTTGTCTATTAAAAGTGATCTTGTTGGCCAACGATCTTAGACTTCTCATCTCAATTATGTCAGTGTGATTGGTTGTATATCAGACAAACAATCTCCACATCAGAAAAATGGAGTTCGTCAAGTTTTTGCTCTCTTTGGCCTTCTTAGAAACTCTAAACAGACTACCTCTATGTACAAATGAGTTGTTTGTCAGACAAGTATGATTTCCACGGTATAAGGAATATAACTAGGGGTGTCAAAATGTGTTATGATTCATGGGTTGACCTAATTCAAATTGACCCATTAATCCTAATGAACTATTTATTTTTGACTCAATAGGATAATGGGTTAATAGGTAATGGATTAACAGGTTAATGAGTTAACAAGTTAAATAGGTCTAATGGGTTGGATCAGCTCTCACCCATTTAGTTTTTAATTAAAAAAAGTCTATTGCGTTCGATCTCTTCTCGAACTCCATCTCAGACTCGAGCTCGTGGCTAAGAATCACCCTCGGTTCCTTTTGACAACTGGTTTGCTAATTACATAGCCCTAAAGTTTCTCAATTTGTTCAACTTGGTCTTAACTTATAAAAAAAATAAACCTTTCCAAAAACTTTATGACTTAATTTGAAAGAAGTATATGAAACAATATTTGGATCCAAAAATATATAAACAATTATTTATGAGACCATTATCATTAAGTTACTATTAATAAAGTGGTTCATTATAAGATGACTCATAACTCATTACAAAAGTGGTTCATTATTAGTGGGTTAACCAATAACCCATCTAATCGATGTAATTTAATGGGTTATGAGTCAAGTCAACACATATAATAAATGGATTACATTGACCTACGATCCATTAACATTCAATTCATTTTGGATTATGGGTTGAGTTGATTCATTTGACCCATTTCGACACCCCTAAATATAACTAAGTTTTTAGTTTGCTTATTTGATCTTCCAAACTCAGAATTAGATAATGGGAAATTGGCCTGAGTAGCAATGAATCAAAGTATAATTAGGTGCATAGCTAAAAAAATATCATCCTCCACTATTATTACAATATCAATACAATACTAAAAGTTAAATATAACCAATTTGAACATTTTATTTTGCCACATCATCAATCGCTGAATTAAACTAGCCTTTTTGGGTTCTGTTAAAATTATCACTCCGCTCACCCGAGCCCTCTCTCCCTCGACTCTTCCGCTTCATCTTCTCATATCTCTGTTTTATTTTGTGTTCCTCACCAAATATCGTCAAAGAAAACGATTCACTCAAATATGATTTCTTCGTTGGTTAACATGATTAAGGTTACCAAAAAAATCTCTAAGAACAGAGGTAAAACTACATTCCAATGATGATGACGAAAAATATGAATCAATGAGCCCACAAGTGGTAATCATTCGTGAGATCTTCTCTGATGCTTACACGGCGCCGAATTTGATGAATTCGGAAAGAGAGAAGCTTTAATGATGATACTAAGGGTGAAGACCACTGGAAATTCAATCTGGAACCTATGGATTTCAAGTTAATACTTAATCCTTATTCAACTGATCTTATTCATCTATAAATTGGGTCATCAGGAGTAGCTCTCACCATCTCCTGATGACGATACTTTGTTTTTTTTTTTGTGTAGAGCAGATTTGTTATCAAAGTGACTCTTTGCTATTTCTTCTTGCATTTATGCTTCTCTTAAATAGGAATTGACTGTTGGATAGATACGAATTGTGGAAGAAGATGCTTCACTACGCTTCGTTTGTTGCCTATTGGATAGATACGAGTTGTGGAAAACGTGAATCTTTAAACCTAAGATGTCTTAGGTTTCTGTACAGAGCAGATTTGTTATTAAAGTGACTGTTTGATTATGATTTCTTCATGAGTTATGCCTCTCTTAAATAGGTGTTACATATTGGATAGATTGTGACTCTAGAAGACAATGCTTAGGTTTTTTTTATTTGTTTAGAGCAGATATGTTATTAAATAGACTCCTTGCTTCTCTTCCCTTCATGCGTTATGCTTCTCCTAAAATAGTAGAATCATTATTGTTAACAGCTTTTTCCATTAAACTTTTTAATCTTTCCCTTACTTTATAGGCTACATCATTGCTTCAAGATGCAATGTCTGGAGCTCCTTTGAATGTTCCTGGAAGTGCACCTGGTTCTGGTCCTGGTACCACCAATTCCTTACCTTCCATGTTCCCAGCCGGAAGTGCTCCTCCACTTTCACATAGAAGCTGCGGCTCACTGCGTATTGAGTTAAATAAATAAATAAACTAGTTATTCTAGCTTCTCTAGTAAGCCAAGTGTGTTTGGTTATTAGAATAAGATTGTTCTCTCTCCTTATAACTCATTGTAACGTTATTTTTCAGATCTAAGGGAAAAAGTTTCTCCTTCTTTACTCTTTTCTCTCATCTCTCTCTTGTTCTTCATTCTCAAAGCTTCACTTTCTTACATGGTATCAGAGCTATAAGCTCTTGTGTACCTATTTTTCTTCCGCGATTTAACTCTGATATTCTCTTCTATTTGATTTATCAATCTACTCCTTCTATTTTCTTTCCAGATCTACTTTATTTTGGAGATAAGAAATCTGTGTTCTTGAGTTGTAAAATTTCAGTGATTGTTTTTCCTTGGCTTCTTTGTGTAACCAGTGGGTAATAATCTCTGAAGATGAATCAATTCATACAAGTCAAGATTCCTGTTGTTCTCAAGGGAGGAGAAAACTACATCACTTGGTCTAGATTGGCCAAAACAGCCCT